TTGTTAATCAATCTATAAGATAAATCAACTTCAGATTAATTCATTATCAATAACTTGCATCCTTAAGGGGTTAACTTAATTTATATCTACTCAAATTCATGTAATTAAGCGTTTTAATGATTTGGCCGATTAATCGATTATTCGAAAAAACAATCAACAGATTAATCGATTATTAAAATAATCGTTAGTTGCAGCCCTAAACTAAACTAAAACTAAGCATTAAAAAAGCAATAATAACTAAAAAAAAAACTAGCAAATGCAATGTAAAAACTAATTAAAACTAACTGAATTAAAAGAAACAAAAGTCACAACAAAATAAAACTAAAACTATAATGAAAAATCCAAAACTATTATAACCTTGCCAAACACTTGGCACTATTTACAGTAATTGCAAAGTGACAATAATTGTTGATAGTTTTTCTGACGATTTAATTGCACACAATATGATTTTGCCCAACCTTGCGTCAGACAAACTGAAGGTTTGTTTAACAATGATTTAAATGTGGTAACTAGTTGTGTCTTTGTGATGGACATGTGAATTGTCCAGACCAGGGACACAGGTACCCAGAAAGGAAGAAGCAGGTAAAAGACACAGGATGGATGAATGACTTCCATGAGCTTCTCCTGACAGAAGGCAGATGTTTAACAGATGAAATACATCCAGCCACAGCTAATAAAAGCAGTGTTTGAAGCAGCTGTTAGGACGGACTCAGTCTCAGCTTCAGGCTGTAAAGCTGCAGAGTTACAGAGAGGAACAGTGAAGCTGAACAACAAAGAGTTATTAAATATGAACAGAATCAAACCTTGGCCTGCTGCAGGCTGCTGCTGGCTCTGTGGCTGGCTGCCATACAGAGACAGGATGGAGTCTTTAGATAAAAGCTTCTTCTTCTCCACCTTGCTGCTGCTCGAGGAGGACGAGGAGGCTGCGGAGGTGGTGGGAGTATCCACCTGGGGAGGTGCTGCACTGGAGCCAGACTGTCAGAGAGAAGAAAGTGGGGGGGAGGGAGCTACATTATGAAACTTGTACAATACCATCCAGCTGTCAACTCTATCTGAAGCAGTCAGGATTTCCTGTCATGAACGCAACTACAGTAACTATTTTTAAATAAAGTCCACCATCTTCATAACTGAGGTTTTACATGTCAAAGATTTCATCACATAATTATTAAACTAAAACAAAGTCAAAATAGAGAAGTTGGTTCATATGGTTGTGGAGGTCCACTCTTCTTTCCAAAATAGCTTCACTTTATAAAGGCTTGGAGACATTTGTTTCTGCAGTTATTTTCAGGTTCACCAGGGCATGCCACTCAGGTTGAGGTGTGGACTGTTGAAACACCTTAATCCTTTTTTTTTTTTTTTGCATTTTATTGTAGATTTTCTGCTAGGTTTGGCATCGTTGTTCTGCTGCATCACGACCCAGTTTGGTCCAAGCTTCAGCTGTCAGATAGATGGCCTCACATTCGACAATACTTTGGTCTACAGAGGAGTTCATGGTGAACTCAGTGACCCCATCACGTAATTGTTCAGTCTTTTTCTTAATTGTCCTGGGATGACCTTTAACCTCGATCCTGCTAACTGAAGCCTATAAAGTCTGAGATGGAGGTTCTGGGTGTATTTGTCCTTTCTCTGAAAATTGCACAGTCTGACCTTGGGGTGAACTTGTTGAGACATCCACTCCCAGGAAGACTGGCAGCTGTCTTAAATGTTTTCCACTTTTCTCTCACTGTAGACCTGGGTTGGCCAACTTAAGTGAGAGAAGCAGCAACATATTTTTTGACACTACCAGAGGGCCACATAGTGCTGCACACTTACCCAAATGTAATAAACCTGCCATTTGAGGAGAGACACAAGCCAGGAGACAAATTCAGACTTGAACATTTAACTGCATGAATAAAGCCATGCAAATACCTTCAGCTGGACCAAAACAGACCTTAACTCAGTCTCAGGGTATTTTGGTAAAGAATCACGAACAGCAGCATATATTTATCCAGAATCTCCCGGGTCTGGCCACTCCTCAGGCAAAACATCCCATCGACTGGGAGGGTTTTCTCCATCTAGTGACCAGACCCATTTACAATAATCTATCACTCTAATGAGAAATAAATAATTATATGTTGTCTGGTGATAGGCACGTGTTAATTAACCCTAAAAGGACATTTTGTTTTGAGATGACTCGTGACAGGATCATTCAGGACAGGGTGCACATCACTTAATCACAGTTTAATCATGGCACATAAAGATATGAAATTATACATTTATGAAGGAAATGATGTAAATGATTCATTGAATGTTAGATGCAGTACTGTGTTTTTACACTTTCTGACCAGTGCAGCCATACGTTTAAAGCAGAGATGGGTTGGTGCGTCTCATTCCGTGTTCTTCTGTAGCCTAAACAAAAATGATTCACGTTCTATGTCTGATGTAAAAGTTACCACCTTCAGGGGTGTAACCAGGAAGAGATGTGCATTATGAGGTCAACTGATTCTTATGCAGGAAAGATGTTTAGAAGTGTTTTGCCACCACCGACTGTGGAACCACCGGGACCTTCAACTCAGGAACCACCGGAACAGGAACCACCAGCTCAGGAACCATTGGCTCAGAAACCACCAGCTCAGGAACCACCGGAACTGGAACCAGAAACACCGGCTCAGGAACCCCAACAACCAGCGCAGGAGGAGCAGAAGGGGRGGGAGGGTGGGTACCAGATGACTCTCCCAAAACCCTCTGCACAAACCGGTGGAGCAGCTAATGGCCTGGCAGGAGGAGCAGATCTGGGCGCTCCCCCAGAACGCGTTCTGCCGGCAGATGGAAAGTCTGTTGGAGAGCATTGAGATCCCCCTGAGGATCTTCACCGACCCTCCAATGATGGGGGATGTCACCTGTTCCTCCCAGGGGGGCAAGGAAAGGACCGGCTCCTCAAAGGCAGAAGGAGGAAGAGCAGCCGAGGCTGGTCCAGGTGACTCTGGTGGACTCCAATAGTGAGAGGAGAAAGACTGGCGCGCCAAGGGGCGGCGAGAAAAAAAACCTTGCTCCTCTTTAAAAAAACCCGAAAATGGGGTGCCTGTGGGCTGGGTGCGTGGTCGGATCATTATGTCAGGACTGACAAAATAACCCAGGGTACAGGCAGGTTTCAAAAATCAAAAAGCACAAGGCCTTTAATGAAAAACTCAAAGAGGCTGATAATACAGCAAAACTCACTAGACTTGGAAGTAGACGAAGAACATGAAGCAGGACACGACCAGGTAGACAGAACAATGATCCGACAATGAGACAAAGGCAAGACTGAGCTTAAATACACAGAAATCTAAAGAGGGAACAGAAAACACCTGGGGAGAAACACAAGGATAATCAGCAGTGTGATGTGGGGCAGCTGAGCAGACACACACAGGGGAACATAGAAACACTAGGAAAAACCAAGGCATAAAATGACAAACCATGACAGCCTGGACAGACTGGGCTTCTTTTGTTTGGGTTTTAGATCAAAGCCTTAAGCTGAGGTCTGACTGCTGTGCTGTACTTATGAACCTGATTGGAGTCAACGAGAATGAAGTTTTAAAGAAGAAATTCAGTGGATTCCTGTTTTATTCAGACATGCTGTTTTTGAACAACACATTATTTCTACAATTAGATCATCAAAAATAGTCTAGATTTCTCAATAAAACAACCATGTGGAGTGCATTTATGTATCAGTTTTAAACAGAAAATTTTTTCCTTCAATACAGAGCAGTAACTTAACATATTTAATGCTCAATTACATATATAACAGGTGTATTAATAAATATGAATACAACTTGCAAACTCCTGCGTGGTTCTGGTAAAAAGTTGCTGTTGTTTATGTGATTGTGACTTCAATAAAATTCTCATATTTAGCTTTGTGCAACGTGCTGTAGTGTTGACTTATATTAAAATCCTTCATGGAAGATACCATCTCTAAGCAGACTAAACAGGCTGGACGGAAGTAAATAGTTGCCTATACCTTTTGTAGAATAATAGATTTCATATAGTTTGGAAATTACCTTTAACCCCTCCCAGATTGCCCCTCTAAGTTCATTAATGTCTTTCCTTCTTGGTATTGTGTAACACACACCTGTATGATCCAAAGCAGCAAACTAACAAAATGCCTGCTTTTACAGATGTACTCACACTGAGATGATGATCAGTTGATTTAATGAGTCTTTTTTTTATCAGCAGCACCTGGCTGCAACTTTCTCTCTTAAATCACATGGAAACAGCAAGGGTAAATTTAGCTTTTCCCACACAGTTTCCTCATTTTTCTTTTATTTCATCTTAATGATGAAGTGGAATCTGTTGTGTGTTTGTGGACACATGAACTCATCAGATATAGAAGATCTGAAACTGTGGAGTTTTTGTTTTTTTTGTTGACTGAATCTATTTTTTCTTTCTTTTTGTATAGAATTTAAGCTAGTTGACCAAGTGAAACCATACCAACTGGGTATTGAACAGTGTAGAGATTTGCTGTGTATATCAGGGTACGAAAAGAAGAATGCAGACGAGGAGAGGAAGACAAAGGGGAGAACACGGGAATCAAATAAAGCAGGATGCAGAACAAAGGTGGAGAAGCACTGTGACAGTAAGTGAGACGGATGACGTTAGATAAGCTGGAGCCAGGAAAAACAAACTGAGGCAGGTCTACTCGCCACAAACATGTTTGCACACTGAAAATAACAACAAAAACCTTTCAGAAACACACATTTTATGACGGATGGTCAGAAATGACCAAAAAAACACCTCATTCAGGTTGAGTGTGATCGGGCAAAACCCAGGAGGAAAGTGAGGTGAGACAGGCAGCATGGAAACAACAGCAGCGCCTCGATAAAAACAGCAACACAGGAACCAGTGACACAAACACAACACAAGCTCAACAACACATCTGTGAACGTGTTATTGATCCTCTCCTCCCCCCACCAGAGGGAAGTAATAAAAACAGGGGGAAGGCAGACAGATTGAGGGAGGTAGGAGTGGAAAGACCTGATGGGTAAATGAGTGATGGAGAGGAAAATAGAGGCAAGGGAGAGAGAGAAACTAAGGAACAACAAAACAAGGTGACAGGAGACAACTCTAATCCAGACCATGGATGGATGGTCAGGTCACATTGTGGGTGGTCATCCAGTGCAATAATCTGACTTTGGAATGTACAAATGTCAAGGTTGAACCAATGGGTACATAAGGACACACACACATACATTTTTTTCTTCTATCCTCATGGGGACTTTGAATTGACTTTCATTCATTACGATAAGATAAGATAAGATAAGATAAGATAAGATAAGATAAGATAAGATAAGATAAGATAAGATAAGATAAGATAA